TGGTTTTGCTAAAAATAAAGAGAAAGAGAAAATAGCAAGGAACCTCTAAGAAACAGTCTGCTTTTTTGCAGGAATTCTTGAAAGCAGAAGCTTTGTGAAGTCATCTACTGTTCTCTTACTGTGCAATAGCAAAAGTTTTGAAATCTGATTGGTTAATATGTTTCTGTAACTCTAATCCTGAGTTAAAAAAAAAACAACAAAACAAAACAGTGTGTGCAGAGCCACGGTAGAACTCCTTTGTATTTATAAAAAAATAGCATAATATTTCAACAGTAGTAAACACATATACCTTCTGAACATTAATTTATGAAAAGATAAAAAAGGGATAAGAGATGAATATAGCACATTGCTAAAAATATTCTCCATAATTCATTGTGTAATGCTTGGCCCAGGCTAGTTCAAATTGTTTCCAGTGATGAGATTTTTTACTTTTTCTTTTTTTTTCTTATGAGTTTATTTAAGGTTAATGGATCCTATGAAGAATTTGTTTCTCATACTCTGTTCTTGGCTATAATTTTTCATTTTCCTTTCTCTAAATTAAAGTTTTGGAAACCATAGCTATTCCAGAATTAATTAGTAGAAACGTAACAGTTGACTATCAAACTTTTGAATGGTTTTATTTCTAAGTCTATAAAATTTAATATTCCAAATACACCATGTGGGAGCTACACTTGGCAACAATTTTAGTTTATCTAGGTCCTCGTATGGTCATAATACACAAGTCCTGACAGGTGCAATAAACTGAATTGTTTTGTAGACAGTTGATAGCACTTGGAAATATATTCTATGTGTTGTTCATGCAAACACTGGCCACTTAATGATTTTCAAAGTCCCATTATTGGACTTTAGCAATTATATTGTCACATTTGAAATTCCATGCCAATAAATCCAATCAGCTCAGGCTGCCCAGAGAAGTTGTGGGTTCCCTATTCCTGGAGGAGTTCAACGCCAAGCTGGATGGGTCTTTGAGCAACCTGAGCTGGTGGAAGGTATCCCTACCCATGATGGGGAGACAATGTGTGGAACTAGATTATATTTAATGTCTCTTTCGACCGAAACCATTCTATGATGCTATGAAAACTATATTTTGCACAGGTTTAATTTGCCTCTTCTTCTATTTTCCTTCTCAATTCACTGGAGTAAAAGGTAACAAACTGTAACACATTTTCTGAAAGTAAGTAACCCCTTTTTTTTTTTCCCAGCATTTGAAAGGTTCCTATGCATTCTGACCTCCTTTTAAATGGCTTTTTTAATGAGCTTCAACTTCTGAGAAAGCTGTATCAAATGTGTGTACAGAAATCATCAGACATTTTTCTGCAACATTACACTAATGACAGTGTTCCTAAATATTCATATTTGATCTGGAGTCACATATTAGAACAGATAGGCACAAGAAAGTATTTTTAAATCTCTGTTGTAACAACTGTCAAAAAAGAATATCTGTTTGATGGTTTAACAGCATACTCTCATTGGAAATAAGCTGGTTCCACTAAACTGTGAAAATGAGTCATAAAAACAGGGCCACTTCTCTAAGGTGGCTTTGGACAGTTAGGTTGACATCACAGACTTTAATTTTTGGTAGCAGTGGACGTTTCTGCTTTTGTTTTACTTTTAGATAACATTTGTCCTGCTACTGGAGAGCCTGTGCTGTGGTAGCTGCTGGTGACCTAATTGATGCTCCAGCCCTCAGTCTTGAATCAGAGAGATAGAAAATATTTCTTTACTGTTTAACTCTGGTGGCCTTTAGAGACAGATTATTCCTGGAGATTTTTTTGGAGGGAGGGTGAAAACGAGGGTGGAGTTTGTTTGTGGGGTTTTTTTGTTTGTTTGTTTGTTTTGTTCTTCAGGAAGTTTATGATGCTGGCATTTGAACAATTTTTGATTATTTATCAGGAGACTACAATTCCAGGCAATCAACTTCTTTCATGATGCATCTGACTTAGCTTTAGCTGTTGCACTAGACATCTTGCTGGTTGTAAAAATTCCCCTATGTCAACAATAGTCCCCAGGAGTATTATGTACCTAAGGCTAGGTGACTGAATGGGATATTTTGTATTTCTTGCAGGCACATTGAGGGATCTTGGCTGATTAGTTAGAGTAGCTGACTAGATTTTAGGTGGTTTTCTGCAGGTGAGCTGCAACCTACCTTGAAACTGGAAGTCCAGAATTTTGGTGATTTTGTTATCCTAGGAAGGGCTGTATACCCAGAGAAGAACAAGAGGTTTTTTAGATTTTTAAAGTAATATTCATTTCTTAGAGTTACAATGTAAAGAGGTATGATTAATTAATGAGCTGGAATGTGTAATATCACTTCCATAAATGTTAAAGTGTAAAACTTTTAAGTATATGACCTCTCACTTCGACTGCGATTAAAAAAAAAAATGTCAAGGGAGTTAGACATGTTAGACATTTGTCTCTCTCTCTTTCTCGTCCATTGTGAAGCAGATGTTTACATTTCTAAGATTCCTCCAAACTGCCAAACATTAAAATTAAATTCCTATTTAATTTCACAATTTTTAATAGATATTTTGTACATGGAACAGTTCTCCCTTTGCTGCCTGTATCTCAGAGTGCTGTTGCAGCTCAACACAAGCATCACACCTTCATAATTCATAGAAGGGCTAATGCTTTTAGAGCAGAAAGAAGAGTATTCAACTCTGAGCTCTGTGTCTGTATATGATCATCAAGTACTTGTATTTGTTCTTTTGTAATAATGACCTTACTGTAACATGGCACCCAATTCATTGTATTGCAGCAAAATACAATAAGGTAATTGGTAAATTGTTGTTTAGTTGAAAGTCTTTAATGATTACCATAAATTGGAAATTTCTCACAGCTAAGATGTAGTCATATCTTCTATTTTAAAATCTGCGTATTGGCTCATCCAGGATGTATGAAATGCTTTTTTGCTATGAAAAAGCTGGAACAAAAAGTATGACCGGTTCTTAGAGTGGTTCAGTTTACAGTTAAGTTCTTAGCGCCATCAAAAAGGAGGAGTTGTAATTATTTCCAGGGAAAAAAAATGACTCTTTTAATGGCAGAGAATTGATAAAAAGGCAGTTTATAGCAGGCATTTTGACTGCCAATGTCATGAAAAATTGAAATGTTGATTCTGGTAGCAGCTGTGTTTAGGAGGAGACAGATGTCTTATGTAAGTAAAAGCATAAGGTCAGTCTTCCTGGATATCTCTATTTGAGATATTAGACATAGAAAAGAGACACGAGTTCTGCAGTTGTATAGGTTTATTCAGGTTGATAAGTAAGGGGTTCTGTAAGTGCCGTAATGATTGTATATGAGTGTATATGTATCAGGTAGGTTTCCTGCACAAAAGAGAGATACTAGCTTAAAACTTGTGAGAAGAAAAGAAACAGCAGAATTATAGCTGCTTCCAAAATATGATGTGCTGCATTTGAGGGATACACATAAGAATGCTGAAATACACCTCATTTTCTTGTTGTTTTCTTTGTTTGTGTTTGTTTTTCGAACTTGATACATACTAAATGTGAAGATGAACTTTTATTCTAATTGCATATACTAGAGCTAGGATGGATGTGAACATAATATGTGTTATAATCTTGTTTTTTGAACTAAAGTATTTAGAAACTAGAAGAAAGTACGGTGTACATTGACATACGTGCTGAAGAGAAGATAGTTCTAAATTTTACATCCCTTCTCTAAAACACCAAAGACACCCATGATATACAGGCACATCTATTTCACAAGTTTCTTGGGAGTAACAGGTGTCTGCCCTATTTCTGTTACAAACAGCAGTGACTTAAATTTTGGATAAAACTTTTTGCCTCTTCTCCAAGCTCAAATATTCCAACCATACAAGAAGTAGCAAATATTTCTCCTCTTACTGATAAAAAACAAAACTAAAATGAAAAAACGGTGTGGGGAGAAGTGTCAGGGGAACACAAATATCTAAGATCCCAGCCACTCTTGTAAGCACTTGCTGTGTAGCATGAAACCCTGGGCCCTCAGCTTCATTAATTGAGTGCTGCCCGTGTTAGGGACACTGATCCGCTGGATGCTGCTGCGAAAGCCGGAGCTGCTGCGAAGCATCGTGGTGTGATGTGAAGTGATGCAGAAAACAGTAGGAGCTCTGTCGCTAGGTCAGCTGCAAGAAGAAGTGACGTGCGTGAATGTACAGTATGCGGAGTTTTCTGAATGATGCAGTCTCTCTTTCTCCCAAAGAACTTCAGCTAATGATACAAGGGGAATTCAGTTCCCTTTGGCAGGAGTCCATGTTGGTCTGGATCCTTTTAATACTTCTGTTTCTACAGTTGCTCGGCTCATGCTGCTAAAAATATACATGAAACTAAATGAAAGTATCTTCTTTCGAAAACTACTTGTCAACAGATCATTTAATGTTCTTGTTTGCATGTGTGGTTCTCATTATTCTGACATAGCTATTAATACTGATGAAAATTAAAGAGAGAAAATCCAAATATTTTCATATTTGCATTTTTCCAGTAACATCTGAGAAACCCCACAGCTAATCAGCCATAAATTTTCTTGATTTTTTGTTTATTTTTTCAATTCAAGTGTAATATAGCAGTATACAAAACTATAATACAGCAGTCAGAGCTTCAGAATCCCAGTAGATGATGTAATTATGATTAAAAATTAGTATTATTGAATAATTCAATTTTTTAATATGCAAGAACATTTTTTTCTCTCATTTTCAATAACCATCAGTCTTAATATCTATCTAATGAAAAAACATAAACAGTGTCATCTGTCAGGTTACTAACAGAGAATGCCACTTATTGGAGCCTCATTGTTTACTTTAGCAGGTAATTTGTGGACCGGAATCATTTAATTGTTCTGAGCACATAATTACATGGCAGCATTTTCCAATTTAATTAAAATGTACAAATCTGAAGATTAAGGGAATTTTTGAATTATTAATCATTCCTCCTCTAGGAAATCTTGTTGCTCTGCAGGAGATTTGTCCAGTGTACAACTATACGTATTTTTTTCCTTCTCTTTCACAGACAGACAATTTTCCCGCAGAGCCCAATTACATGGGCAGCAGGCAGCAGTTTGTTCAAAGGTAAGGCCTATTAAATAACTTTCTTGGCTTCCCCATTTGCATTCTTGTCAAAATTGCTTTGCCAGAGAGTACAATTCAACTTAGAACAAGTAAATACAACACTCTCTCTCTCTCT